GAGGCCACTCCAGGTAGGTCTTTGTGTTCATTATCTTCCGCAGTTTGCAGAACCTTTTGGGAATCGCTTTGCTCTGAATGGGCTCCAGGAGGATGAGAATCGCCGCATCGTTGTTCTCATCAAAGAGGCGGAAGTGCGAGAAGTCCAGCTCGTATTTGCACCACTCACTCTGCACAAAGTGCTCCGACAGCACAAACAGCGTTTTGTGGCTTTTCTCTATGGAGTCAATGATGTTATCCACAATCCACTTCCCAGGCACAAAGTCCCGCTTATGGAGGCACAGTCGAAAGGGAGGACAGGCCTGCTCCAGCTCCTGCACCATGATGTTTTCCACCCAGTCAGAGTCATTCTCACTGTAGGAGACAAAAGCATCATAGCAAATATCCTTTGGGGGACCTTGCTTGGGCTTCCGCTTGGCTCGAAGCCATGCCCAGGTCATTCTCATGTACCAGATCGCGTGATACTTGTACCCGACAACCACAAGGACGAGAATGACCAGGAACACCAGCGCACAGATTAACGACACAACGAGGGATCTGTGGCACTCCATCAGTGAGAGATGTACAGCTCCGACCTGCTCCCCTCTCACTGTCAGGGGAGAGTCACAGATGTAGTTTTCCGGCCACCCCGCTAAGATTTGGGCTATTCCAGCCTCGTGATGAATGAAGGAGAGGAATTCACAGGAGCAGATAAAGTTATTGTCACTGGCATCCAGCACCTCCATCTTCCTAAAGGACTCAAACTCTGCCTTGGAGAAGCTGTTGAGTTTGTTTCTCCTGATTGTCATGGCCACCAAGTTAGGAATGGGTGCAGCATCAGGCAAGGTCTTCAGCTGGTTTTTCGCAACGTACAGCTCTTTGAGGAAAGGGAGTTGCAGCCCAAACTCCTTCAGGTTATTAGCGCTGACATCCAAAACTTCAAGGGTCAGAGGAATGCAGGTTGTTAATTTAGGAATTTGAGTGCTGGACAGATTTAAATGTTTCAGATTTTCTGGCCATTGACACGTGTCTGGAATCTCACCAAAATTATTTTGACTGATATC